ATATGATGCAAATTGCTACTACTAAAAGCAATGTACGGTTTCAGTGCAGCAGCATCAAAATCCCAAGGCATTCTTCACAGAAATAGAAAAACCAGTACCAAAATTCAAAAGACCTTGATAACCAAAGCAGTCCTGAGCAAAAAGAGCAATGCTGGGGGTATCACAATACCTGACTTCAAATTATACTACAGAGGAATGGTAAGAAAAACAGCATGGTATAGGCTCAAAAACAGTGGAATAGAATAGAGGACTCATAAATAAAGCCACACAGCTATAGCCACCTTCATTTTGAGAAAGGTGCCGAAAACATACATTGAAAACATACAGCCTCTTTAACAAATGCTGCTGGGAAAATGATATCCACATGTAGAAGACTGAAACCAGATCTCTGTCTCTCATCCTATAGACAATTAATTCATAAGGTATCAAAGATCTTAATATTAGACTCAGAACTTTGAAAGTAGTACAGCAAAATGTAGAGAAAGCACTTAAAGATACAGGCTCAGGCAATAACTGTCTGAATAGGACTCCAATATTGCCCAGGAAATGAGAGCAAGAATTGGCAGTGGGATTGTATCATATTTAAAAGTTTCTGCACATTGAAGGAAACAACTATGAAAATGAAGAGACAGACTACAGAATGAATGGGACAGGGGCTTAATGTCCAGAATATATGAAGAACTCAAAAAAATGAAACACTAATAGAATAATCCAGTCAATAAATGGAAAAATAAGCAAGCGTCTCAAAAGAAGCACAAATAGCCAGTAAATACTTGAAATGACATACATTGCCATAAAGTAAACGTGAATGAGTCTATCCCAGTCAGAAAGGCTGTGATCAAGAACACAAAGAACAAATGCCTGCAAGGATGCTGAGGGGTAATGGGCCGGGGCAGAAAAAGGAACCCTTTATGTACTGTTGGTGGGAGAGTAAAATATTGCAGCCAGTATGGAAATCAGTTTGGCGGTTCCTTAAAGAAGTAAAAATAGAGCTACCCTATGATTCTTCTGTAGCACTCCTTGGCGTACATCTGGAGGAATGTAAGTCAGCATACACTAGAGACACCTGCATACCCATGTTTATTAAGGTACTATTCACAATGGCCATCTTACCAAAATCAGCCTAAGGGTCCATCAACAGATAATGAATAAAGAAAATTGGTCTCAGCAGGCATGGTGTCTTATACCTGTAATCCCAATTACTACTGAGGTAGAGATGGAGAATATTGCACTAACAGGCCAGCCTGAGCAAAAAGATAGTGAAACCCCATCTCAACAAATAAGGTGGGTGGTGTGCATATCTATAATCCCAGCACATGGGAGGCATAGATAAGAGGTTCACAGTCCCAGCCACTCCTGCTGTGGAAACTGTGAGACACTATCCAAAAGATAACTAAAGCAAAAAGAGCTAGAGTCTTACTTGGCTTAAATGGTAGCATGCTTGTTAGGCATGTTCAAACCCCAGTACTGGAACAAAAAACAAAGGAAAATGTGTGTGTATGTATGTTACAAAGGGGTTTCATTGTGATGTTTCCATAGATGCATGCAATGTATTTTGATCAAATTCACCCCCTCTATTAAGCTCTTTTAGCTTCCCCATTTTCTAAACAGTATTTAGTAGGTTTTGTTACACTACCTTCATATATATGTATGTATGTATGCATGTATATGTGTATATATTTTTATGTTACACATATATGTAATACATATGTTCCATATGTATATATGTAGCATACTTCAGTCCTTTTCACCCCTTGTACCCTCTCCTTTCCCCATCCTCCCTCTACTGGTCCCTCATATTATTATCGTAATCATTGTCATCATCGTTTAAGGTCTAGATTCCATATGAGTGAAAATGTGTGGTATATAGACACAGTGAAGTTGTTCGGGCATAAAGAATGAAACTGTGTCATTTGCAAGAAAAATAAGCCCAACCCAGAAAGACAAATATTACATGTTTTCTTTCATATGTGGAATCCAGATTTAAAAGAAAAAGATACGAAAGTAGAAGCAGGATAGTTTATGAAGAGGAATGGGAGCAGTGGAATATGGGAGTGGGGATGAGAGTATAGCTGGTATATGTGAATATGACCAAAGTGTATTACATGCATGTATAAAAACATCATTGTGAAGCTCATTATTTTTTAGGGCTGGCAGAGTGGCTCAGGTGGTAAGTGCACCTGTCTAGTAAGTGTGAGGCCCTGAGTTCAAGCCCCAGTGCCACAAAAAAAGAAAAAGAAAACCATTATTTGTACACTTGATATATGCTAATTAAAAACCTAAATGATATTCTTACATTTATGTTTTTTATTTCTAGTTTGTAGGTAATGGTTCCATTGTTTTCCAAGGTAGTTTTAAAATGGAAGCTCCAAACTTAATGCAGTTACATTAGCATTTAGAAAGGAACATTATATGTTTATAACTCAATATAAGATTTGTACAATAATTTAAAACAGAGTTTAACATGATACCTCCACCTGTAATCCTGGATACTTGGAAGGTGTAGATGAGGAGGATTGCAGTTTGAGGCCAGCCCAGGCAAAAATTAAGTGAGCCCCATCTCAATAAGCTAGACAGGGGTGTGCCATTATAGGTACGTGGTAAGTGCAGATAGGAGGATTGTGGTCTAGGCTGACCTAGGCATAAATGTGAGACTTGTTAAAAAACTGAGATGAAAAAGACTGTGGGCATGGCTCAAGTGGTAGAGTGCTTGCCTAGCATATTTGAGGCCTTAAGTTCAAACTTCAGTACTGCCAAAAAAAAAAAAACAATTAAGAATTTCAGAGTTATCAAATGATAATTTTTCCATTCAGATTTGGTAATGCAGGTAACGTTGAACATTCTTCCTCTGTTCCCCCTCTCCCCTTATGCTTTGGGTGGTTTTTTTGTGTGTAGGGTCTCTATACCTGAGCCTGCCTAGACTGAAGTCCTATATTTATGCCTTCAGTGTAACTGGGATAACAGGTGCACACTACTGTGCCCAGTCATTGATAAACATGGGGTCTCAAAACCCTGGTAGGACTGGGTTGTCCACAAACTGCAATTCTCTGACCCGCACCATATGTAAGATTAGTCTTGAATCACAGTACCCGGCCATGAACTTGCTTCTATTTCTTTTTTCTTTTCTTTTTTTTTTCAACTTTCATAATAACAACCTTTGAAGGAGAGCATCTGAAATGTTTGTGAATCATCATAGCTCCTCCCCCTCCCCAGTCTCTCTCTCTCTCTGTTTTGTGATGTTGAGAATTGAACCAGGGTCTCCTGCATGCTATACATACACTGTACCACTGAGTTACATCCCTGACCTCCAGTTATCATGGATTTTATTGGGAAGAAAAAGATAAAGCATATGACATGAAAGTATAGTCCTTTGTCACAGAATCCTACAATCATCTTTATTTTCTTAAATCTTTTCATATAATGAGGGCATTTTCTTTAAGATTAGGTGTCTAAAATGCAGAGATAGTACTTAGTAATTAAACACTTTCTCAGAACATAAAGAAAATGCACGTTGGATATTCATTGCCAGGTACAAGAGTTGTCATTAGGGAATTTTTTCTCCTGCGGACAAATTATGAGTGTTTTCATTTATTAATTGGTAAAAGCAATTTTAAAAATACATAATTTGTTTTATCATACATTTTATATACAATCTTCAAATAACTGTAAGTAGGATGGTTGAACAAAGGAACAGGATACTTTCTAAATCATAAGCTGTCTGTAGAAGTGTATTGATACACAGACAAACATTTAAGGATATTGTGGAATGAGTTTTTATAGTTTCTTGGTATAGAAGAATTAGCTATTCTAATTTTATGATCAGCAAAGTTTGAATTAGAACTGCTGCTCTAATTCATAATTTCGCTAATTTTGGTTTAAACCAAATTTTCTTAAGAAGCTCCATGTTTGTTTAGATTTATTTGAAATCTTCGTGAAAGGTAGTACCACATTTTATGTAAGTAGAATTTATCTTTTAACTCCCTCTCTCCCTCCCTTCCTTCTTTCCGCTCCTCTCTTTCTACTGGGGATTGAACTCAGGGCTTTTTAGCATGCTAGGCAAGCACTCTCAGTTGAGTCACACACCCAGCCCTTTTGTTTGTATTTTGTTTTTGAGTTAGGGGTCTACCAAACTTTACCTGAACTGGTCTTGAACTTGTTCTTCCTCCCTCTGTCTCCATAATTATGTGTATGCTCCACCACTCCCGGCTACAGGTTTCTTTCACATATATTTAACTTTACATTGATAAATGTACCTTGAACGCCCTAGACCAGACTGTAGATACATGTTTTGAAGGTCTGTGCTTCTCACTTGTGATAATCAATTTTGTTACCTAAGACGAGACATTCTCTATCTGTCCAGTTCCCTATGTCTCATGACAATCTCTTTTAGTTGCTAAAGTGTTGCTACATCAAGATAATATTACTTTGAAAACCTAATTTAAATTTTTTTTTATCAAGTTTTGTTTTGCTTGTAAAGTCAAAGGCTGTCCTCTTTACTGCTGGTGGAAAAATAGCAGAATGTTTTCCTTTTGATCTTTCTAGCTCAGTGTCATCTCCCTGTTTGCTGTCGCTTGTATGTAAAAATCTTGTGTTTATTTCAGAATAGTTCAGACACAGCAGACCAAACGTGTTATATTGTTCATGGTTTTATTTCTAAATTCTTAGGAACTTAAGGATAGTGCTACTGTAACATTCTTACTGAGGTTTATTTTTTATTAAAATAACTTAAATTTTCTTTTTCTTATGATTGTTTCTTTACATTGCTTGTGTGTTTGAATGCTTGGCTTTTTTCATTGAACAATTTTGTTTCCTTTAATCCATGTGAAGACTTTACTGTTAATTATATTCATGTTATTTCATTTAATGCATTTTTGTTTGTTTATACATTCTATTTGATTAAGAATTCAAGAACTCCTGTGCTTTAAAAAAAAAAAAAAAACCTTTCCAAAACCAAATAGAGAAATTAGTGATTTTTATATATTTCTTTTTGTCTGTTTTAGGATGGCTACAATAGAGTAGTTAATATTGTGCCAAAGAAACCACCACTGCTAGAAAAGAAACCACCACTGCTAGAAAAGAGACCACCACTGCTAGAAAAGAGACCACCACTGCTAGAAAAGAAACCACCACTGCTAGACAGACCTGGTGAAGGAAGCTACAATAGATATTACAGTCATGTTGAGTACCGAGACTATGACGAGGGCCGCAGTTTTTCTCATGATCGAAGAAGTGGGCCACCACACAGAGGAGTATGTAAATTTCCCCGCATACTAACTTTTATTTCCTATAAGTTTAAAGCTCATGTAATTAAAATTTATGTGACTGCCATGAAAGCACTTGAATAAGTACTACCTACTGGAGCTCTTTTTTTTTTTTTTTTTTTTTTTTTTTTGGTGGGGGGACATGGTTTTGCTATGTAGCCTAGACTGACCTCAAATTTAAAATCCTGCTGCCTCAGCCTCTCAAGTGCTGGGATTACAGGTGTGGGCCACCACATCTGGGTAGGTGCTCTGTTGATTTGTCTGCTGAGGTTGTCAAATGGGAAACATAGTCAAGAATCTTGGGGTGCTGGACAAGGTAGGTAAGCACTGTGGATAGCTCCAAATAACATTAGTTCCAACTTTCTTCGTTTTAAACTTTGTTTCTTTCTTTATTTCATTCGTTTATTTTGTCGTGCTAGCTATCAAGTCCAGAGCTCTACACATGCCAGGCAAGCACTCTACTGCTGAGAGTTATTTGCCTTCCAAGTGGCTAGGATTATAGGCTCGAGCCACCAGTCCTGGGCCAGCTTGGTTTTTTATTTCCTAAATTGTCAGCATTCACAGAGCCATACAGTCTATTGCTTTGGTGCTAATAAGTGATGACCAGGGGTTACCATATCTTACTGGGTCTGCCCATCTATAATTACTTTGTTTTCATCATGATGAAGTGCTATAGGTAGGGCATGTGAAGGTGGTTGATACTCTCATTTTTGTTATAGTTCCTAAGATCGATTTGCTAACTAGATTAGGTTGCATACAAAACACTGTGTTATGTAGTAAGCACTATTTAAATGTTAAATGCTATTATTTGTTTCTCTTGATAATCTTGAAGTAGGTATGTAAAGTTAAAATGATTTGTTATTTTTTCTTTTTGTGGTACTGAGATTTGAATTTGGGACCTCCATGCTTGCTAGGCAGGTGCTCTACCACTCGAGCCATGTCCCCACCCTTTTTGTTCTTTTAGTTATTTCTCAGATGGAAATAACAGTCCCAGGCTGGACTGGCCTGGGACTGTGATCCTACTGATCTCTACTTCCTGAGTAGCTGGGATTATAGGCGCATATAACCACACCTGGCCATTTGCTATTCTGAGCGAGAGTGTTAATTTGATGCACTCTCTCTGTCATAGTTTGTATATTTACAGTGTTCCTCTTCTAGTCTATTTTTCTACCTTTTCTCTTTTTTCCTCTCTCCTATTATATATGATATAGTAATTACTCTATGTATTTAAATGCCGTTTATAATAGAATTTGATCTCCTGTTGGTCAGTGGATTTGTTCCCATGCTTTACACTTGAAGAAATAGATGTAAGAGATATACTGAGGATGAGTATGTGTGATTGTGTGGTTATTCTGTAAGTAACCTTTTTTTTTTTTTTCCATATTCCTTCTTACATGTATCAAAACTCATACTGTACAATGGGTGTTCTGGGTTGCACAAGAGGATTTATTTTTGCATCTGTCTATAAGTCTTTGTTCTTAAGTTAAATAAAAACACACAACTGCTACTCTAAGTAACCTTTGACAACTCTAATGCAGTCATGAGACCACTCACTGTTTTCTTATGTTTGGAGTGTTATAGCTTCTTTATTTGTCACTGAATTGATTTTTATTTCATTCCTTTTTTTAAGTGTCATGCTGTTCTTTAGTAAGAGGGATTCAGTGTTGAAAGGGACGCAGTGCATTTTCTCTATTTTAGAAATACTGAGTTTTGCCATTAGAGCCCTTCTCGCCAGATAGTCTCAGGGAGAAGCATTGTTTGTCCAAGCATAAACATTTATTATCTCTTTTGTAAAAACTCATTGTAGTCATCCATTGTAGACAGAAAGTTTTGTATTTGTTGACCAGTTTTTGAAACCTAATGAACATGATGTTCTTACTAAAAATTTACAGCACAGGCTGAGCACCAGTGGCTCACGTCTATAATCCTAGCTACTCAGGAGACAGAGATCAGGAGGATCGCATTTCGAAGCCACCCCAGGCAAATCGTTCATAAGATTCTTTCTTGGAAAAACCCATCACAGAGAAAGGCTGGTGGAGTGCCACAAGGTGTAGACCCTGAGTTCAAACTCCAGTACCTCAAAAAAAAAAAAAAAAAAAAAAAATCTACAGTGTAAGTGCTTCAGCAATAGCACTGATGTTTTGCACTGTTCTTGCAAATAGTTTGTCTAGGCTGGAGTGTAGCTCAGAGTTAGAGCGCTTGTCTACACTGTGCAAGACCTGATTCAATCCCCAGCACCACAGAGCAACAAAGAACATTGGTTTGTCATCGTGCTTTATATAACATTTAAAAAAATTATTCATTAAATTTCCTTCAAGGAAACAATAAGCACAATTGTTGTAATCTTTGGTACTCTCATGGCACTAATTTTTTTGAGGGGGTTGGGGGAAAGTTTTTTTTTTTTTTTTTAGTTTTACAAGTTGTAATTGGTTTTATTGTTCTATCTTCATACATGCATAAATGCATGTCAATCTTTCACCACCACCCTGCCCTGCTTTCTCTCCTTTTTTCACCTCCCCCTTTCCTATTAGTCGCCCCTTCCAACAGTCCCTCTTTTACACTTAAATACATTTTTTTTTTAGGTCTAGATCACACATGTGAGACAAAACATGATATTTGGCTTTCTGAGTCTGGCTTATTTTACATACCTCATGATCTCTAGTTCCATCCATTTTCCTGCAAATGACATGATTACATTTTCCTTTATGGCTGAATAATACTCCATGGTGTATATACATCACAATTTCTTCATCCAGTCATTGTTGCTGGACACAAGCTGATTCCATAGCTTGACTTTTGTGAATAGTGTTGCTATAAACATGTTGTACAGGGCTCTCTAGTGTATGCAGACTTAGATTCCCTCAGATATATGTCCAGGTGTGGTATAGCAGGATGAAATGGCAGTTTTATTTTTAGTTTTCCCTGTATCCTGTTAAGCATTTGTTGTGTTCTTGATGATTGTCATTCTGACTGGGTGAGGTGGAATCTCAGTGTAGTTTTGATTTGCATTTCCTTTATGGCTAAGGATGGTGAATATTTGTTCCCGTATTAGCCATTAGTACTTCTTTTGAGAACTGTCTAATTCCTTTTCCCATTTATTAATTGGATTATTCTTTTGGTGTCTAATTTTTTGAGTTCTTTATATATTCAAATTTATTGAGAATTTTTGCATCTATGTTCATCAAGGAAATTGGTGTATAATTTTCTTTTTTTGTATCTTTATCCAGTTTTAGTGTCAGGGTAATACTGGCTTCATAGAATGAGTTTTGTACTATCTCTTCACTTTCTATTTATGGAATAGTTTGAGGAGCACTGTTTTCCTTTTTAATGGACTGTTAGAATTCAGCAGTGAATCTACTCAGTCCTATTCTTTTCCTTGTTGGGACACTCTATTACTGCTTCAGTCTCACTGCATCTGTTGTTTATATTGTTTTTCTTCAAGTTTGGTAGTTCATATGTATCAAGAAATCGATCCATTTCATCTGGATTTTCCAGTTTATTGGAATATAAGGTTTTGAAATATTCTGTAATCTTCTGAATTTTACTGGTGTGTGTTGTGATATCCTTTTTTCTCATGTCTAATATTATTAAGTTGGGTCTTCTCCCTCTTTCTTTTGGTTAGTTTAGGTAAGAGTTTGTCAATCTTGTTTATCTTTTCAAAGAGCCAACTCTTTGTTCCATTATACTTTGTATTGTTTTTAGTCTTCATTAATTTCTGCCCTGATCTTTATTATTTCTTTATTTTGGGAATGGCTTGGTCTTATTTGTCTAAGAGCTTGAGATACGCATTAGGTTTTTTTGATGTCTCTGATTTTTTTTTAATATAACACTATAAACTTTCCTCTTAGGATTGCTGTTGCTGATGACACTAATTCTTATCTGTAGTTCACTTATATAAAGTACTTAATTGATCCAATATTTTATTATAGCCATTGAAGTTTTATTTTGCTGATTTTTTTCTTTCTCAACTTTAGATTCATTTTGCTTGCATAATCATAGGATATATGATGTTAAGGAAGATGTTGAAGATAATGATTCAGCTTTATCAGCTTTTCTGATTATAAGTGGTTTGCATATTGCATTCTGTGCATAACTTTAAAGTAATTGGGTGTAGATTACTATGTGGAGGACACAATGTGCTTCATTTGATTAATTTTAAAATTAGTGCCACATTATCACTCTAATGCAGTTTATCAGTATGTCAGTTTTTATTACTTCTAATTGTGATTTTTAATGAGAGGTAAGAAAAATTGAGCAAGAACAGGAGGAAAAATAGCAAGTTGTTCGTTGAAAATTTAATTTGAAAATTGATGAGAGAACTTGAGAATTGAAAGTTTGAGAGGTATATGCTTGACTAAATTTAGCCTGTCTTCAGACAGCCATTAACTGTTGTGATATTGGAATATGTGTCTTTGGCAATGAATCTGTGCAAGTTTGCCAAGTGTATAATTTTTTTAATAGAGACATCTGATACAAATTTTCTGTCAGTATACTTTTAATCATTGAAATAGATGACTTGCTCTATCTTCTGTATTTTTTATACCTTTGAAGCTTAGGGACATCTAGGAAAGTATTTTTGCTTCATAGTATTTTGACTTTAGAGACTCACTTCTAGTAGCGCTGTTATATATATTCTGTGTGTCCAAAATAATGTAATATGTCTAAGTAAGTTTTTTATGTTACAGGATGAATCTGGCTATAGGTGGGCAAGAGATGATCATTCTGCAAGCCGACAGCCTGAGTACAGGTAAAATGATGAAAGTATACCATGACTATTTTAATACTTGACTCACTGAGATGTATGCTGTGGAAATCCAATCTCAGATAAATAGATGAGCTATTTTGTTAGGATTTAAGTGTTTAAAAACAGTAAGCATTATATTTTCTGACTGTAATATAAATGTTCTACATCTATTGGCATTTTATAATTGATAATAAAATACATAGTTTAAAATAAGTTGTTTTAGAAGTAGCCTTCTGGAAATACTTGCTTCCTTACAATGCATCTTTGATCAATGAAGTTCTGCTGGGAAAATGCATTTTGGAAGGCTTCGGTCATTGTTAGCTTTGGTTACTTATAGGAGGCATCTGGTAGAGTAGTTAGGGGGGATCAAATGGATGGACAGGTTTAAACAGGTGATTTTCTTTTTGGCAGCACTAGGGTTTGAATTCAGGGTCCTATTTTTACTAGGCTGGTGCTCTCACCACTTGAGGCACTCTGCCGATCCTTTGTGATTTTTTTTTATTTTCCTGTAGTATTGGGATTTGAACTCAGGGCCTGTAGGCCCTTAAGCCACTCCACCAGCCCTTTTTTTGTGATTGTTTTTGTTGAGATAGAGTCTTGACACCTCCAAAAAGGAGAACTATAGGCCAATCTCCTTAATGAACATTGATGCAAAAATCATCAACAAAATAATGGCAAACTGAATTCAGCAACACATCAAAAAGATTATCCACCACGACCAGGTAGGCTTCATCCCAGGGATGCAGGGGTGGTTCAACATACGAAAATCAATAAACGTAATAAACCACATTAACAGAAGCAAAGACAAAAACCACTTGATCATCTCAATAGATGCAGAAAAAGCCTTTGATAAGATCCAACATCATTTCATGATAAAAGCTCTAAGAAAACTAGGAATAGAAGGAAAGTTCCTCAACATTATAAAAGCTATATATGACAAACCTACAGCCAGCATTATACTTAACGGAGAAAAATTAAAACCGTTCCCTCTAAAATCAGGAACCAGACAAGGATGCCCACTATCTCCACTCCTATTCAACATAGTACTGGAATTCCTAGCCAGAGCAATTAGGCAAGAAGAAGGAATAAAAGGAATACAAATAGGTAAAGAAACTGTCAAAATATCCCTATTTGCAGACGACATGATCCTATACCTTAAAGACCCAAAAAACTCTACTCAGAAGCTTCTAGACATCATCAATAGCTATAGCAAGTAGCAGGATATAAAATCAACATAGAAAAATCATTAGCATTTCTATACACTAACAATGAGCAAACGGAAAAAGAATGTATGAAAACAATTCCATTTACAATAGCCTCAAAAAAAATCAAATACCTAGGTGTAAACCTAACAAAAGATGTGAAAGACCTCTACAAGGAAAACTATACACTTCTGAAGAAAGAGATTGAGGAAGACTATAGAAAGTGGAGAGATCTCCCATGCTCATGGATTGGTAGAATCAACATAGTAAAAATGTCGATACTCCCAAAGTAATCTACATGTTTAATGCAATTCCCATCAAAATTCCAATGACATTCATTAAAGAGATTGAAAAATCTACTGTGAAATTTATATGGAAACACAAGAGGCCACGAATAGCCAAGGCAATACTCAGTCAAAAGAACAATGCAGGAGGTATCACAATACCTGACTTCAAACTATATTACAAAGCAATAACAATAAAAACAGCATGGTACTGGCACAAAAACAGACATGAAGACCAGTGGAACAGAATAGAGGATCCAGATATGAAGCCACACAACTATGAGCAACTTATCTTTGACAAAGGAGCTAAAAATATACGATGGAGAAATAGCAGCCTCTTCAACAAAAACTGCTGGGAAAACTGGTTAGCAGTCTGCAAAAAACTGAAACTAGATCCATGTATATCACCCTATACCAAGATTAACTCAAAATGGATCAAGGATCTTAATATCAGACCCCAAACTCTTAAGTTGATACAAGAAAGAGTAGGAAATACTCTGGAGTTAGTAGGTATAGGTAAGAACTTTCTCAATGAAACCCCAGCAGCACAGCAACTAAGAGATAGCATAGATAAATGGGACCTCATAAAACTAAAAAGCTTCTGTTCATCAAAAGAAATGGTCTCTAAACTGAAGAGAACACCACAGAGTGGGAGAAAATATTTGCCAATATACATCAGACAAAGGACTGATAACCAGAATATACAGGGAACTTAAAAAACTAAATTCTCCCAAAACTAATGAACCAATAAAGAAATGGGCATGTGAACTAAACAGAACTTTCTCAAAAGAAGAAATTCAAATGGCCAGAAAACACATGAAAAAATGCTCACCATCTCTAGCAATAAAGGAAATGCAAATTAAAACCACACTAAGATTCCACCTCACCCCTGTTAGAATAGCCATCATCAGCAACACCACCAACAACAGGTGTTGGCGAGGATGCGGGGAAAAAGGAACCCTCTTACACTGTTGGTGGGAATGTAGACTAGTACAACCACTCTGGAAAAAAATTTGGAGGCTACTTAAAAAGCTGGACATCGATCTACCATTTGATCCAGCAATACCACTCTTGGGATATACCCAAAAGACTGTTACTCCAGAGGCACCTGCACATCCATGTTTATTGCGGCACTATTCACAATAGCCAAGTTATGGAAACAGCCAAGATGCCCAGCACTGACGAATGGATTAAGAAAATGTGGTATCTATACACAATGGAATTTTATGCAGCCATGAAGAAGAACGAAATGTTATCATTCGCTGGTAAATGGATGGAATTGGAGAACATCATTCTGAGTGAGGTTAGCCTGGCTCAAAAGACCAAAAATCGTATGTTCTCCCTCATATGTGGACATTAGATCAAGGGCAAACACAACAAGGGGATTGGACTATGAGCACATGATAAAAGCGAGAGCACACAAGGGAGGGGTGAGGATAGGTAAGACACCTAAAAAACTAGCTAGCATTTGTTGCCCTTAACGCAGAGAAACTAAAGCAGATACCTTAAAGCAACTGAGGCCAATAGGAAAAGGGGACCAGGAACTAGAGAAAAGGTTAGATCAAAAAGAATTAACCTAGAAGGTAACACCCACACACAGGAAATCAATGTGAGTCAATGCCCTGTATAGCTATCCTTATCTCAACCAGCAAAACCCCTTGTTCCTTCCTATTATTGCTTATACTCTCTCTACAACAAAATTAGAGATAAGGGCAAAATAGTTTCTGCTGGGTATTGAGGGGGGGAGCGGGAGGGGGTGGAGTGGGTGGTAAGGGAGGGGGTGGGGGCAGGGGGGAGAAATGAACCAAGCCTTGTATGCACATATGAATAATAAAAGAAAAATGAAAAAAAAAGGAGATAGAGTCTTGAGAACTATTTGCCTGGGCTAGTCTTGAACCAAGATCTTCCTGATCTCTTGCTTCCTGGGTAGCTAGGATTATAGGAGTGAGCTACCAGTGCAGAGCTGACAGTTTGTTCCTGTTACTTGTTTTGCAAAGGATTTCACAGTTATTGTGTTGGAAGTTGTAAAAGCTGCCTGTGAGGGCTTGAGTATGAAATTTCCCCAAGTGAAATTTGTCTTTAAAATTTGAAAGTGTTGAAAGCTTGTTTTAACCAGAGGTGGGTGCTATTTTGAGACCTACTAGACAGGTTAGGAAGTGGGGCCTAGCTGGAGGAGGTAGGGTCACTGGGACATGACCTTAAAGGGCGTCTTGTTCTGGCCCTTTTCCGTCTTTCTCTGGTCCCTGGGTGCCATGAGGTGAGTCTTCTGCCATATCTTCCTGCTGATATTCTGTATCACCGTAGGTCCATAGCAATGGAGCAAGCCATCCATGAACTGAAACCTCTGAAACTGTGAGCTAAATGTTTATATCCTTTAAGTTGCTTTCCCTCGGTATTTAATGTCACAGCAGTGAAATACCTGCCAATACAGAAAATTTGTACCAGGAGTGGAGTTGTCGCTGTGACTATCTGGCCATGTGGTTCCTGAGCTATTAGAAATGGTTTATGGGAGGAAAGGCAGGCTAGAAAAAACTTCAAAGGCTTTAAGTGAAGCTTAATGGGTGATTTTGTTGTGAGCCCAACAGATCACAATACCAGTAGCAAAGTGAATGTAAGTGGAAAGCAGTTTGGACCCAAGGCCTAAACTACTGGGATTGCACATGCCAGGTCCACCCACTAGCCGCTCGCTATATGCCAAATAAAGAGGCATGGTGAAGGGCAGAGAAGGAGATTTATTACTTGGCTGGGGACATGCAGAAGAAAGAGGTAGAGAATAAGCACTCAGCCCATCTTAAGGCATCTTCGGAGTGTAGACATGACTATCAGTTTAAGTAGACAAAAAACTAGGGGCAATTACATACACATAATTAACCAGTTCCAGTCACAGTTTGTGTGGTAATTATCTCAATCTTTATTCTCAGAGTAGTTGTGTCCTGCAGGTGGTCCATCCTGAGAAGGCTTTATTGTTGGGGATCGTTTTGGTCCCTTGTCATGAAGATGTTACCATTTCTGTCTTTCCTGGAATCCAAAGTGATTGCAAAGTGACTGCAAACAGAATGGCGTAGAGCAAAAACAGAAATAAAACGGAGAGATGACAGGCTTTTCTCCTGTGGGCTTGGCTTAGGATTCTGTGCTTTTCAGCAAAAGCAGTTTAAGACTGTAGAGGACTGTATCTAGTATGGGACTAGAGGTCATTCATGTTACATTGTTTTAAAGAACTTGCATAAGTTTTGTCTGTGCCCTCTGACAGATTTTGAGGCTTAGTTTAAAGGCAATGACTAATTAATCTGGCAGAGGAAATTTCAAGGCAGTCAAGCATTCTCACCATGGCATGGTTATTGCCAGCAGCTTTTACGCAAGTAAATTACAGTCAGAACTATGAGCAAAAAGCAGAGAGGGAATGTTTGAAAAACTTGCAATTTGCCCAGAAGTGTGTGTAATGTTGGGGCCAAGGAAAGTGTGGATGTTGAGGGGGTGAACCTTTAAAAAGAATACCTTGCATCAGGACAATAGGAAAGATGCCTTGAGGACATCTCAGGAATTGACCAGACCCCACCCATTGCAGGCTCTAGGCTCTGGAGTTTCTAAGGGTCCTTGCTGTACAGCCGTGACTTGGGAGTAATTAGCAGGTTTTACCTTGGCTCTCCTTAGACCCTCAAGAATGCAGTAGATGAAATGGTTATGACTCCATTCATCCTTGTCCTTTTCAGGGTCCCACTTATGGTCATACGGAAGCACTGCCTGATCTCCTGTTGGAATTGGGAATTGAGGTTCCCTTTTAGGTATCCAATGCCTTTGTTTTTATTCTCCCTTCCCCTCCTCATCCTGTGAGGACCCAGTCTGAGACAGGCCTGTAGGGCCGCTTTTATCTAAGTGATAATTGTCTCCAGGTGTGACTGCCTGATCTAGTACCTGCTGTTTCTCCAGAGAAGTGAGGGTCTGAGATAGCAATAGCATTACATCTTTCCAGCTCAGTTTTAAGTTTTGGCTGACTTCTCTAAATGCCTGGATGTACTGATCTGGGTTTTCTGTGTAATTTCCTAAATCCTTTTTTATTTCTTTAAGTTCACTCACTCTAAAAGGAATGTGAGCCCTGTCCCCTCCAGGAATCAACTGGAGGGGGTAGAGTCCTGTGGGACAGCATCCAGTGTGTGAGGTAGCTGGGTAAGGGGGGAGACGGGGAGCTGATGGAGCATCAGATGGGTTTTTTGGTTCAAGGGAGTTTGGGGGCTTGTTGCAAAGAGTTACCATCGTCTGGGTATCTAGCCTGCATTTGTTTAGCCATTCTGGGTGATTTCTCAAGAAAAAGAACAGTTGAATATATGGAACTTTGGTCCACTTTCCCTGCTTTTTACAGAAGATAACTAATTGAAGAATGGTATTATAATTAATGCTCCCTCCTTCTGGCCATCTTTCCTCATCTCCCAGAGGATACTGTGGCCAAGCTTAGGTGCAGTAAGACTTCAGTCACTTTTGCTGAAGACTTTCTGGATCAAGATCTTTCCGATGTTTTAATAAGCAGGCAAGGGGGGGATTCTTCCTAGATCCTTGAGGCTTGATTCCTCATCTAAAAAAGGGAAACAAGGGAAAATTGGTCACCTTAACAGAGGTTTCTCCTTTTATCTAGGTGTCCCCAGATGAGGATAAACTCTAGTGGGAGAGGGCGTCCCGCTCTCCCTTGCTCCTTCCATTGCCAATTGTGGGTAAAGTTGTGGAGGATTTACAGATATATCAGGTGCACCCACCCCCCTGAAATGATCTTTGGCCAATCTTTCATCTATTTCAACTTGCCTGTTTGCCTTGCGACCCAGGTAGGCCTAGTTCTCCTCTATCAGCTGAAGGCTTATAATTTAAAAAGTGACTTTATCAAAGTAACCAAGAGGGCTTGCATGGCGAGAGAGAGGACCCCTGTAGAGGCATGGATGGGGACTCCTGATGAAGTAGACTTTTGTCCCCCTTTATATTCTGTGAAGCATATATTGTTGTTTTTTTTTTTTATGAAAGAGAGAGTGAGAGCATCTGGAGGCTTTTGCTCTGGTTAGGGGAGAAGCGAAGACCTGAGGTTTTTGCCTTTTAACTTTTTTTTTTTTTTTTCTTTTTCTTTCCCTGAGGGCATACTGGCGAACCAGTGAACCTGATGTTTAACAAAGACAGTTGTGCCTAAATTGGAGTCTAGCACTTTCTGCTGCCTGTAGGGATTTTTCCCAAACTCCCTGAAGAAAGAAGCTCACTGCTGTTTAGAGCAAAGGAGGGGAGGGGGACACTCACCCTGAACTACTTGGGAAAAGGGAAGGAGAGGCTGAGGGTTGAGGGGAAAGAGAGTTTCCAGGCTCAACACATGAGGGATTATTAGTCATCACTGCTGTCCAGGTCAATCTGCCAAAAAGTAGTACTGGAGCACTGGAAGCAAGGGGTGACCTCCATTCTCGGGCCACGGAAACAATGAAGGAAGCATAAGAGATCTGATTGTCTGTTTGCTGTGGACATGGCTGGAGGGGTCTGAGATTTAGACACCTTTGGAGCCTCAGGGTGGGTCAGGAAGTTGTGTTCTCCAGCCTTTGGGTGACACTGGGGAGTGTCCCGGCCAGAACACTTTTTTTGGCTTGAAGACAAACTTTCCTTTCCATCAGATGTCAGCTGTTTTCAGACCTCCTCTTAAGTGGGTCAGATCTTGAAAGAGAGAGTTAGAGTTTAAAGAGAGGAAAAAGAAAAAGCCTTGGTGCACTGAAGTTGGGTTCTGCCCACGTAGCATTGTCAGTGCGGTATAATCCCCCGCCTGGCGTCTGAGTTCCCTCATTGCCTGCCTTACAGCTGTAATGGGTGCAGAGCTTTTCCTCAGTTTCCCAAGGGAGAAACCGTCCTTAACAAGACAGAAAGAGAGAAAAGGTCGACCTGAGAGTTCCACCATAGCTAGGCTGTAGTGGGGGTCTCTCCTGGAAAATAGACTCCACCAGAGTGCTGGATGCTCATGGTCGCGTTCCTAAGCAGCCTTTCCCAGTTTGGCACAACCTATACCGACCTCAGGTGATGGCTGGTCCCTTCTTGGTGGCCAAATATGATGCATGGATGACACATGCAGGAATTTCAGGTGCTCAGGGTTCTTGAGCCTGCTGTGAGAATGAAAGCACAGACACTCTTAACAGCAGAGGTCAGAAATATTTTATTTGTAGATAATTTATTTGTAGAAAAGAGAGGAGAAACACTGCATGTTGGGGAATGCAGGGGATCCAGAAACTCCCGTGAGTCAGGGTGGGGAGTGGGTTTTATAGCCTTTTTTTTGCATTATCTGAGGGCTGAGATGCCTTTTAGATGCAAATGGGCATTTCCTAGGGAGGAGAAATGTCTCCTTGACCTCCCACTGTCTGTCCTTCACACATGCCAGGTCTAGCTACTTGCCCTTATAGCCAGATAAAGAAGCACGGTGAAGGCAGAGAAAGATTTATTACACTTCTTGAGACAAACAATGGGAAGAGGCAGAGTAAGTACTCAGCCCATCTTCAGGATACTGACATGGTGTTATAGATTTAAGTAGACAAAAGAACTGGGCGCAGAGAGCAAGAGTATGCATTGTAAACTGTTCCACTCACAGATGTGGTCTGGTTGGTTGGTAGCTCAGTCGTTGTTCTGGAGTTGTTATCTGGAGTCAAGCAGGTGGTCCATCCCTGGGAGACTCTACAGTTCCTTGTTATGAAGATGTTACTATTTGTCTTTCCTTCAATCCAAGTACTGGTGTGAATTGTTGTTGTGAGGTGTCGAGGGTCTGTGCCTTCACAGGCCAGAGAATGGGCTTGTGAGGCAGTT